AGTTTTAACAGTCTAAACCAGAATACTCCTTGTCCTGTTATGTACATTTGAAGCACATAACTACCACCTTATAGTTTGGAATCTGAGATACCTACCATAAATCTCCTTTGAAGAATATTTCTAGAGGGAAGGGGAAGTTAGATTTTTTTTTAAAAAAGAATTATTTATTTAATTTTGTTATTATTATTATTTTAATTTGCTATAGGGCATGTGCACTCACCAGAGAGACATACAGAGAGAGGGAAAGTGAGAAAGCAAGCCAGTAGGTCTCGGGCTCAAACTGTAGTCGACCATGTGTGAGTCCAGAGTCCCAACCACCACGCCACCTGCTGGCCTCAGGAGGTTAGATCTTAAGACAGCATTATTGGCCACTTACAGCCTAACTATAGAAATAGATCAGCATAATGGCTCAGAGGGAAACCCCAACATTTTTTAAACCATAGCTAGCTGCTATGAGTCATATTATGTACGTATTTCTTGGTATCGTTAATTACTGATGAAAGGATGTAAGAAAAATTCAGTATTCCTTGGTGTGTTCTATAAATGTAGTTTTTTTTAAAAAAAGATTATTTAATTTAATTTACCTTATCATTTTTTAGTATGCTACAGGATTTAATGCACTCACGAGAGGTGGGGAGGGGGTGGAGTGAGAAAGCAAGCCACCAGGTTCGGGACTTGAACTGAACTATGGTTGGTCACGTGGGAGTCTAGCTCCTTAACCACCACGCCACCTGCTGGCCCCTCTACAAATGTAGTTTAAGGTGGGATGTATGTTTTAATTTCCCGAGGTGGTGTCTATATGTACAAAAGGAACGGGCTATGAACTAGTCGGTGTCGATAAGAGACCCTGTTTGTTGCTTAACTGACACTGTGAGGATGGCTAGAAGAATCAGGCCAATCATGCCATGGCCCACCCCAATGAGGCACAAAGACAGTCCTAGGCAACAGAGCTAGTTTCAAACTTCCTGCAAACATGTGTGGTTTCCTTCCATAGCCATATATGTCATGGTCAGCACTAAACTTACAAATACCTGGACGGATGCATAAATACACACCGTCACACATTACCCAGTGCTACTGACTGAGCCATAAACCTATTCTGTCAAGCAGTAGAGGTGCATGTTTTTCCATTTTCAGTGTTTGCAGTGGCGATCAATCACAGGCTACGAAGTGACTTATATTACAGCGTTGTAACCTCCCTTCAATTCAAGTTACAGACATTTATTGATTACAGCTACATTCCGGGCACTTATGTGGGGTGCTAGGAATATACAGTTGATTAAGGGACCAGTAGATAGATGGTGTAATGGTTATATCACTGGATTCCCATGTAAGTTGACCATGGTTCGAGTCCTGGATCCGGTGCTTAAAATTCACACAGGGCACACATACATGTGTACCCAAGAGAATGGTGAAGGGATTGCAGCATGGGCATTTCCACTGGGGCTGATTTCTTGCTTTCTGTCTCTCTGGCGAGCACACGTGCCCTATACCAACAATCTCTCTTTAAAATGTGATATTATCTGTTTAAGATATTTTATAGTTTAATCAACTGGACTAGGGAGAAATGTTCACATATTGAAATATTCACTTTGTAAGCTAAAAAGGTGATTGAATGTATAAAAAAATGAAATTAAAAAAAGGAAAAAATCTTTTTTTTTTTCCGAGAGGTTTTTGCTATAGGGCGTGTATGCTCGCCAGACAGACAGTCAGAGAGATAGAAAGCGAGAAATCACCCCCCAGAGGGGATGGCCATGTCGCAATCCCTTCTCCTCCATTCTCCTCGGGATCTTGGGCACGCATGCCCACACACCTGGCGTGAGTTTTAAGCCACCAGGTCCGGGACACGAACCGCGGTCGACTACGTGGGAGTCCAGCGACATAGCCATTACGCTAACTGCTGGTTCCCGCAAATTCAATTTTTTTAAAGAGAGATTTTTGCTATAGGGCGTGTGCACTCGCCAGAGAGAAACAGAGAGACAGAAGGTGAGAAATCACCTCCCCGGGGGGATGGCCACGCCGCAACCCCTTCTCCTCCACTCTCCTCTCGGGATCTTGGGTACGCACGCACATGTGCTTGGTGTGAGTTTAAGCCACCAGGTCCAGGACTCAAACCGCGGTTGGCTACATGGGAGTTCAGTGACATAGTCATTATGCCAACTGCTGGTTCCCCCCACCACCTCTATTTCTGAGGACACACTGAGACTATGGTTTTGAGGAAAACTCTTTGTGAAATGCTAGTGTAAACTGCTAACAGAGGAAAGGAGAGAGGGCAGGAGATGGGACCTTAGATCATTTCTAGCACTTTGTAGTTTACAAATGCTTTCTTATGCATTAGCCCATTCAGTTCTTCTCGGTTACGCTTCAGTGGAATTTAGCAAGTTAGCCCAAAACTAGAGTGTGGACAGTTTTGATTCTCAATCTCTAAAACTCCTGGTATATACTAACTAGTCCTTAGTACTCTGGACTAAGTTGTAAGGAGAGAAATAGGAGTTGCTAGTCAAAAACACATCCCTGAACTCAGCAGTTAGATTTCTCTGTGCAACCCTGGCATCATTTCTCAAAAATAAACCTCAAAGGGGGGCCAGCAGGTGGCATGGTGGTTAAGGGCACTGGACTCCCACATGGCCAATGGCGGTGCAAGTCCCAGACCTGGGGGCTTGCTTTCTCACTTTCCCTCTCTCCTTCTCTCTCTCTCTCTGTCCCTCTGTGGTCAAATTAAAAGAAAGGAAGAAATAATTAAATAAAGTTAAATAAAATGATTCTTTAAAAAAAATATTAAAAATAAATAAATAAAAAATAAACTTCAGAATGAATGAATGGCATATGTATTCAATGTGTAGCACCCTGGCCGCGTTCTGTCTTAAAGAGGTTTCATCATTCTTAGTGTTAACTCCTCCACCGCCACCTCATTTTTAATAACCACTCAGCATCTTCCTGCTATCTCCAAAATACAGTTATTTGGAAAAAGCAAGGTGTAGAACAATACAGGGCAGCAGACTGCTACTTTTTGATGAAAAATGTAGGTAGGCATGAATCTATAAATAAAACTCTGAAGTCAACAATAACAAAAAGTTACTTCTGGGTATAGGGATTTAAA